CCTACTGACAAAATAATAAAACATAGTTTGAGTTTACAGGTTCACATCGAGGTCACTTATCAGACTGGGAGGGCTCCTGCCTCATATTTCCATTCTTAAATCCCTGAGTAGAGCAGGGTCCTAATCACCCCCCCAGGATCCTCTTATCTAGTTTGTGTTTTATAATGCCAGAAATTCTGCTTTTAATTGGACAAAAGCTTCACATCAAACTTAGCAAAGCTTTACGGTACATTCACATTACAGTAGTATCAGGCCATTAACTGTACAGCTGTGCTATTACATACAAATGTTTCTTTTAATACCATGTGATTAAAATAATACCCTTTCATCATTACATGCTTATAATGCATTAAAATCACCACTTTAAGGCTCTGAACCTCTCCTCTGATACTTTCACAGTATTACTATAAAACTAGACTTGCTTTTTCACTCTCTAAGACCACAAAGACTTTGAGTCAACATTGTTTAGTGTTTGCTTTGTGAGGTCTGTGTCCACCTTCTAACCAGGTAACTACTAAAGGACCAGTAGCAACCACTTAATGATTGTATTAGAGAACCAAACATTATGGCAGACAGCAAATAGCACTGGGGATGAATATTAAAACATGATGCATTCAGGGCCAGGGGTGACATCACCTCCCAGGGCAGTTATTCTTGATATAAGCTGTGTTGTCTCCTGTCCTCCATCATCTTGCAGGATTAGTTCAAATGTTTACAGTCTCCACGATTCACTGATTCATATCTTTACAATTTGTTGTACAAAAGTGAGTAATGAGCTGCTGCTGTCCTGCAGGGACCTGAGCTGAACACAGTCTGTTGTTCATCTTTAAACTAATTAATACATTTTCGTGACATTATCATATTCATGTAGCAGAAATACACAGTCCTAACTTCATTATGAAATATTAACTGTGTTTTGGATTTGTTTGCGCCTCTGTGGATGACTGGAGGCAAGAGGGTGGCATGGAGGCTTGAAGGGGTGGCAGAGGAATATATATGCTGATTTCATACAGCAATCACATGTAACAATATTTACTTGGAAAAGAAGATATGAAGATATTTTAACATTGTGACAGCTGCTAAACTGTGAGCAGCAGATACATGTGGCTGTCTCTGACACATTGTCTCTGTTGAAGCCACGAGACACTTTGTCAATACCACCTTTCGAGTTGTGACAGAATTTTTGTTTAGAGGTTTTGTCTCATAAGCTGTTGTCACCCCGGTTTGTCTCTTTGTTTCCTTCCTCTCCTGGGGGCCCCAGTCACCATAGCAACCAGTGTCTCAGCAGTTGCTAGTGACTCAGCAGTTTCTGGGTTTGAAGCAGAACCATTTGTGTGTGTGTGTGTGTGTGTGTGTGTGTGTGTGTGTGTGTGTGTGTGTGTGTGTGTGTGTGTGTGTGTGTGTGTCTGTCTGTGTGAAAGTCTGTGATACAGCTGCTGCCATCAATACCTGCACTGGTCATATTAGCAGCCATTCTGCTGCCGGAGGTGTAAAGACATCAAATACAATCACCCATAGTGGTTCAGGTTCTCCTGGGTCAATGCTACCATGCAGTGTGTCTAACAGCTGATTGATCTGCACCGAGCAGCAGACACACTCAAAAAGTTTTATATGTAATCTCACTTTTTTCTCATCTTTATATTTCACTGCTGTTGTTCATGTTGTTGTTGTGTTTTATTTTATGTAATCAGTCTATAATGAACTTGACTTGACATATAGCTACTCAGCTTATACAGTATGAATAAAACAATAACACAGGGTGTATATATACCCACCTGTAACAGAGACAAAGCCTGTGAGGGTGAAGCTCACAGACACTGAGCTGAAAGTCACTGAGTTGACATGGTGGAGTTGAGAGGGTGGAGCTGACAGGGTGTAGCTGACAGTCACCGAGCTAACAGGGTGGAGCTGACAGTCTCTGTGCCGACAGGGGGGAGCCAACAGGGTGGAGCTGACAGGGTGGCGTTAACAGGGTGGAGCTGACAGTCACTGAGCTAACAGGGTGGAGCTGACATGGTGGAGCTAACAGGGTGGAGCTGACAGCCTCTGTGCCGACAGGAGGGAGCTGACAGGGTGGAGCTAACAGGGTGGAGCTGACAGTCACTGAGCTAACAGGGTGGAGCTAACAGGGTGGAGCTAACAGGGTGGAGCTGACAGTCACTGAGCTAACAGGGTGGAGGTAACAGGGTGGAGTTAACAGGGTGGAGCTAACAGGGTGGAGCTGACAGTCACTGAGCTAACAGGGTGGAGCTAACAGGGTGGAGTTAACAGGGTGGAGCTGACAGGGTGGAGCTGACAGGGTGGAGCTGACAGGGTGGAGTTAACAGGGTGGAGCTGACAGGGTGGAGCTGACAGTGAGCTGCTCCTCTGCCCTTCAGCTTCTCAGCTGCAGCTGTACCTGACAGCCTATAGGAGCAGGATGCTGACTGTGATGGATGATGGGAGTTTTCAGTGATGGATGCGTGGAGCTGGTTGTAGCCAGTGCACACTGATGTGCTGCTGTTGATAGGGGGGGAACATGGAGCGTTGGGCTGTAGATTAGAAACGTATCTGACTTTGAGAGTGATCTTAATCCATTCTGACCGGTCCACTGTGTTCACTTCAGACTGCCCAAAAAGACCAACACAAGCAGCTGAAGGAGAGTATTCAGGAGTCAGACTTCAGTCCTGACCCCCGTCATGATGA